TAGACAAAAAAATAAAATAAAATAAAAAGCTGAAGGAGCGCATTATCCCCAAACCAGTATTAATATGAATGTTAAAGTGTCTTCTTTAAGAAGAGGAAGGGAAAAAAAGGCAAATAATTTGAACAATAAATACATTACAATAAATACAAGTCTATCAATAGTTTAATCTAAAAAAATAAATAAATAAAACAAAAAGCAGAACGGAAACAGACTCATAGATACAGAAAACATTTTGAGGATTGCCAGATGAGAAGGGGATTGAGGAGGTGAGTGAAAAAGGTGAAGGGATTAAGAAGCACAAATGGTTGTTACATTGAGTCATGGGGATGTAAAGTACAGCATAAGGAACATAGTAATATCCTGGTAACTACACATGATGCCAGATTTATTGGGATGATCACTTAGTTAATTATGCAATGTCAAATGACTAGGGTATACACCTGAAACTAATATAATAATGTTTGTGAACTATAATTGATAAATAAAAATGATTTAGAGATGAAAAAAATAAAGTACTAAATGATATATAGAGTGAATGTTTTTTTAAAGAACTTATTTTAGTCCTGGCCAGTGTGGCTCAGTTTGTTGGAGCACCATCCTGTACACCGTAAGGTTGGGGGTTTGATTCCCAGACAGGGCACATACCTAGTTTGCAGGTTCGATCACCAATCAGGGCCCATATGGGAGGCAGCCAATCAATGTTTCTCTCTCACATTAATGTTTCTCTCTGTCTCCATTCTTCTCTCTTTAAAATCAATAAACATATTTTTTTAATTAAAGACTTATGTTAGAGAGGTTTTAATTTCACAGAAAAATATAGAGGAAGGCACAGAGATTTCCCATGTATTCCCTGTCCTCACACAGACATAAGCTCTTCCATTATTAGCATCTCACACCAGGCTGGTGCATTTGTTAAAACTGATGAACCTACACTGACAGATCATAATCATCAAAGTCCATAGTTTATGGATTCACTGTTGGTGTGATACATTCTATTGGTTTTTATAAACATATAATGACATGTAATCTCCATTATAGTATCATGCAGAGTAATTTCACTACCCTAAAAAAATCATCTGTGCTAGTCACCCTTCTCTTCTATCTAATTCTTGTCTCCACAGTTTTGTTTTTTCCAGAATGTCATGTAGTTGGAAGCATACAGTGTGTACCCTTTTCAAACTGGCTTCTATCATTTTGTAATATGTATTTAAGGTAGCTCTATGTCATTTCATGGCTATTGACAGCGCATTTATTTTTACCACTGAATAATACTCCAGTGTGTGAAAATACCACAATTTAGCCATTCACCTAATGAAGAACAACTTATTTTCTATTTTTTGCAAAAAAGCTGCTGTAAACATTCATGTGCTATCGTGTGTGTGTGTGTGTGTGTGTGTGTGTGTGTGTGTGTGTGTGTAGAATATCAGTTTTCAACTCCTGAGGACCACAGAGCATATGCTGAATTACATGGTCAGAGTATTGTATGTTTAATTTTATAATTAACCACCATCAGTCTTCCAAAGTGGCTGTTTTATTTTTTATTTCTACCAACATGAATTAGAATACATTTTTATTGTACATCCTCACCAGCATTTGGTGTTGTCAGTGTTCTGGATTATGGCCACTCAAATAGTAGTATATGTGCAGTTGTATTTTATTGTTGTTTGAATTTGCATTTCCCTGGTGACATGTGGTGTGGAGTATGTTTTCATATGCTTACTTGTCATCTACATATCTTTTCTGGTGAGTGATCTTTAAAGATTTTTTTATCTATTTTTATTGTCACTTGTGCTTTTGGTGTCATATAAGAAGTCACTGTATAATGCAACATGCTTCTATGTTTTCTTCCAAGAGTTTTACAGTTTTTGTTATTATATTTAGGTCTTTATTCATTTTAAATTTGTATATAGTATGAGGTAGGGGAGCAACCTTATTTTTTGTGTGCATATCCAGTTGTCTCAGCATCATTCTGTTGAAAAAAAATTCTTTCTTCTTTTAATTGTCTTGGCACTCTCACTGAAAGTCACCTGACCATGAATATAAAGGTTTATTAGATATGATTTATTATCATATTGATCTACATGCCAGTCCTTATGTTAATACCACACTATCTTAATTACTGTTGTTTTTTAGTAAGTTTTAAAATGAGGAACAATATCCTCTAACTTTGTTATTTTTAAATATAGTTTTGATCTTTAGAATTTTCTGAGGAACTCCAGCATCAGTTTATTAATTTTTGCAAGAAGGCCACCTGGGTTTCTGATGAGAAATGCATTGAATCAATAGATCAATCTGAGCAGTATAACAATGTAACAATATTAAGTCTTTTAATCCATGACCTTGAGATGTCTTTCCATTTATTTAGATCTTTCTAAATGTTGTTTTAAGATATTTAGTAGTTTTCATTGTATAAGTTTTGTGATTTTTTTTGTAAAATTTATTTTTGAATATTTTATCATTTTGATGTTTTGAATGTCTGTAAATGGGACTGTCATCTTAATTTTACTTTCATATTATTCATTTTAAGATTATTTGCTGTTATCTAGAAATATATTTCATTTTTTATATTAATCTTTTCTCTTGCAATGCTACTGAACTCAATTTCTAACAGTTATTTTGTGGATTCACTATGGTTTCCTGTATGTCAGATTATGTCATCTACAAATAGAGATCATTTTGCTTCTTTGTTTCCAATCTAGATGCATTTACTTTCCTCTTTTTGCTTAATCATGCAAGATAGAAACTTCAGCAAAATGTTGAATAGAAATAGTGAAAATGGGCACACTTGTCTTGTTCCCGATTTAGGAGGAAAGTTTTCAATCTTTCACCATTTACTATGATGTTAGCTGTGGAGTTTTCATAATGCCCTTACTTAGTTTGAGCAAATTCCATTCTAGTACTAGTTTGTTGAATGTTTTTATAGTAAAAAGTCACCAGACTTTGCCAAGTAGTTTTCCTGTGTCTATTGAGATGATTTCATGGGTTTTTGCCTTCTATTCTGTTAATATGATGTGTTCTATTGATTCATAAATTACTATCCTTGAGTGCCTTTTTCTCACTCTCTGTTCTGATTGGGTTATACCACAGACTAAGATGAACGTTAATTTAGCTGATGGTAATTGTCAGTTCTACAGTCTTTATGTGCAGCTCACAGTGACTATGCTTATAAGAATGTATTATTAGTAAGGCAGTAAATTAGGCCTCAGGCCCAAACCTTGTTTCCCAATTCATTTTTTTGTTGTTGTTGCTGTTGTTACTGAAAATAAAGAGAGTATGTTTAGCTCTTGCTGACTGTTCTGTCTCTTCTTGCTTTGGTTTAAAATTTCAAGATAGAAATTGGTTATTTTCAAAATGATATGAATCAGATTTGTTCAGTTGCCACTCTGAGTCTAGGCGGTAATGGTTTTTTTTTCCAGTTTCAGCAATAATGGCATTGACTTATCATTTGGGTCAAGTAAAATATTGCCACAACTTAAACATGGTCTTCAAATATGATATACTTAAAATTGGCATTCAAGTAACATTTATGAGCAATAAATATGATTAAGATGAAGGACGGCTCATTCTGATCCAGCCAAAAATAAGTCTTGATGTTTTTCCATGCATTTCTAGTTTTTCTGAGAACAGATGTTTTCTCATTAGTAAAACTGAAGTTAAAAACTTAAATTTAATACAGATCCAGATATTAGCATGACAATATATTTAATGTTAATTTTATTCCTATTAATTTTATAGTTTTCATTACACGCTATTGATAGTTTCATAATAAATTTATAACTAAGATATTTTAAAGGCATGTCTCATGCCTATAGATATTAGGTAAAAATACAGTTTGGAATAACTCAGAGCTCTGCAAGATTTCTTTCTCAGTTTGCCAGTTTCTTATATCATTCAAATTTGAGAATCATTGCTCTGGATAATCCAACTTGCATATCTCTGGACTGATCCGACTCCTTACTGTTCTACCATCTTTGTTATCTTTGTGCAACTTAGACTGCCTGCCAGATTTCTAGCCTTTCTTTTGGGTAAAGCACGAAAGCTACAGTCCAGTTTCCCACCAACCTTTATCATTCACCAGCTACATGTGTGTCTGCATAGTACAGTTTTGCTCTCTAATCTGTGTTTCTATTGCATACTTGAACTTATATATCACTTACCTAAGTAGTTTATTTATTGTATTAACTTGTTTATCTTCCCTTTCATGTTAAGATTTCCTTGGGAAAAAGAACTACATCTCACTCTACTCTTTATCTTCCCTTCCCAGTTTACTATTTAGCTCTGAACACCTTTCTTTACTGTAAATTGAACTGAGTAAACGTATGACTCATCTGCTGTTTTAAAATGAAGTGCTGTAGAAGAGCATTCTGAGTTGTTGCTTCTCATATGTTAAGAAATGTTTGGAAACTCCTTTTTAGACCGTGTATGAAAAGTATATTCCTTTTTAAAATATAATACACTTTTCATTTTAAATAGTCAGCTTAATAATAAGGCATTAATGACTTTTTATAAGCTAGAAAATGCTGATTCAAAAATAAAAAAAAATTTCAATTTTCTATTTTTTTAATTTTAGAAATGTTTGCTATTAATACCCATCGTAATAACAGAAAATCCAATTTCTATTTTATAAATAACTTAGTGATCCCAGTTTTCTTATTGCAATTCAGCTTATTTCCCAAGTGACAGAACACTATTTTAAAGTAAATTACCATTCCTGCTAATGAAGTCAACACTATTCACACAATAATGCAATCAATAAACATATTGATCTCCTATTATATGTCAGGCAATAAGATAACTACCAAATACGAAAGTAAAAGCTACATTTTTATGCTTCGGGAAGAAAAAATAAACACCTGAAATACATGGTTATGATGGGAACATGCACAGGGAACAAGGGTCATAGGTTAGTCCTAACATAGTCTGAGAATTATTTGCTGTTGCTATTTGGTTTTGGTTTGTGTGTTTGTTTTAACCTTTATTAGACTGAAGGATATAAAAGAATGAAGCCAGGAGCCCCAGGGAATGGCAGTAGCACCAGGGGCGGACGCAGCAAGGAACGGGTCCTCGGGAGCTTCCAGAGGCGACGCAGCTCTGCTGTCTGTCACCTTGATTTAAGCCAAGGGGAACTGAGCTTGCATTTCTGCCTTCCAAAATTGTAAGATAACAAATATCTAGTATTCTTGCAATAATGTTCTAATTTGTTACAGCAGGCTTAGGGGAAAAACAGTTGGTAATGGCTAATTCAGGTGGGAGCTTGCATTGTAAGCTAAGTCATTTGTACTGTGACCTCTGATTAATGAACCATTTTTTTAATAAGGAATTTATAGTCATAAAAATTGAGTAGGTAACTAAAATATGTCTTCACTTTAATGGATGTATATAATCTTACCATGTATGTTTATTAAGAGTTAGGCAATTTGGGTAATTTTTTATATTTATCATTCTGTCTGCCTATAAGTATGTATCATTTTTTATGTGTCTGAGTGCTTTGTTTCACCGAAAAGTATGAATCTTAAACTCAGGCCATTTTTCTCTTGAAAATGTTATCAAAACTATTCATATGCTACAGGAAAATGTACAAATACATAAAATACGTCACACAAATTGATATGCCTTACAAAATCTTCTAAAATAAAACAATTTACACCATGGGAATTCACATAAACTTTGGGTAGGACAGACTTTAAAACAATCCCTGTTAAATCTTGCAAATTCAACAATGTAATCTTTTCAGAATTTATTTTCTAATTCTTGGCAAGAGCAAACAAAGAGCAGAGAAAGAATGAGCACTCTATCATTTGCTGATAGTGCAGGTGAAAAGCAATTTAGTTTCACTTCTTGTCTGTCTAACCAACAGCCAGGCTTCTAGGACTTACTTTAAGGTTTTTGTTTCAGATTTTCATTTGTACGTTTCCTCAGCTACACAAGCTATTCTGTAAGGCCTGCTCTAGCTCTGTTCCTCTCCTTTTCTTAAACAACAATATCCTGTATCTCTATGCTACAGAAGAAAGACTAGATACTAATTTTAGAACTATTTATTTAGGAAATGTTGACAAGGTGCAATATGAGGTCACAGCAGCCAAGAAACAAGTGAATTGTAAAAAACATTCACCTTGCTGCTCTCTTCTACCAGTCCTGAGAACATTGTCAGATATTGACATATAAACTTGTTTCCTAAGAGCATCTAGGCCTTGTGGCTCACTCGACATACTGTTAGATTCCCGCCAGTCACGCAGCTGCCTAATCCTACGGTAAGTGCGTATTAGCATTGAAAGCCCCTTTCATGGACACAGACTCTAAGTGGCTAGTCATCTCGACAATAATCACTCTTGAAGTAGAAAAAAAATGTGCAAACAAAGCTGACTGAAATGTGCAAAATTCTCAGTGCTATCAGTTTAGTTGAAATAATTCAGGAGATCGGTGGCTTAAACATGGTATAACTGGAAATTCAAAAAATAATAGCATTCATTTAATATTCATTCCATGTCGGCATTCTCCCATTTTGCTATGTGCCATGAGTACCTGAACTAGAAAGGGTGCACTAGACAGCATATGCTGCGTCAGCTCTACTTGTTTTCACGGTACTTAGCATAGGGCAATGGATGATAACGTGACACAACATATGCTTTGATCACACTTGACGAATTTGAATTGTTTTAGTTTTCTTCGTGTTTCATGCATAACAATACAGAAATTGCAATGGTCTTTATAAGTTGGAAATGTTTATTATGAGAAGAGAAAATATTTATACATCAACGATCACAGAGACATAGATACATGGAAGAGACAGCTGTCAGAGGTGAGGGGCGTTGGGGCACTTGATGAAAAAAGGTGAAGGGATTTGGCCAAAAACATACATGTAACACATAAACACAGACAACAGCTAAAAGGAAGGGGTGTGGGGAGAGGTAAAGGTGAGCAAAGGGGGAAATTGGGGACGGAAGGAGACTGAGCTTGGGACCATGGGTGCAAGACGCAGTGTGCAGATGGTGTTTTATTGAGTCAGACTCTTGAAACCTGTGTGGTTTTGTGAGTCAGTCACTCCAATAAATGCAATAAAAATAAATTTTAAAATACCACAATTTGAATATATTTATAAACTCAGTGCAATTCCTTAAATTTTGTATCCTCGTGTAGACTTTGGTGTTATTTTGGTTGTGGCAATCAAATGTAGCACAATTTCACAACTACTTATATGATGAAATAATGTTGCCATTGTATACATGACACTGGTCAAATGTCAGAAATATTTTATTTTTATTTTTTCTGCAATAGTTCTAGTGAGTTATATACCATGTATACTTAAAGATTAATTAATAAGACTTCTATATTTGCCAATGTTTCAATAAACGGTGCCAAAAATTGCCTAAATTAAATTAGTATGTATATTGTTTCCAAAAACATATTAATTTTGTGTTTGTTTTAATAAGCTTTCACAATTTACACAAATTTAACTTTGTAAACCAACTGTTGTCCTAAATGCACTAATGAAACATCGTTTCTAAATAATAGCATGGCTAGCTCATGTTGCAAACAATAATCACCTCCTATTAATTATTTTGAATGTCAGTTTTATAAATTAAAATTTTCACTTCAGTATGAATACATTCAAACATGTAACTACATAGTTATAAATAGATTATGAAAACATTCAAATAAAATCATTAGATAAAATAAGCTGAATGAGAATTCTTTACCATTTTAAAGATACCATTATTTAATATTGACATTACTATTTCACCCATTTGACAGATTGAGGACCGGGCACAATGAAGTTATGTGATTGCCCACCACACAAAGCAAACTTTTCAATGCAGCCACCCTAGCAGTGCTGAAGACTCCAGCTACTGGATTCATTTCAATTCTGGTAAATGAAATAAAAATATGTATTTCTGACCTCGGTTATAGAATAAGTGAACAATGTAGGAGGGGGACAAAAGAAATGTATTATAACAAACTGCATATACATGTGCATACATATGAATCAAATGTGTGACCAGTATATCCTAAGACACTTATGGCCCAGTCACAGTATTTCATTCAAGGGTATTGGCAACCACAGTTCTTTGGACAACGATGCACTGCTGCACCATAGACACCAATCACCCCTCTGAAACAAAGGAGTATTAAATCAACAAGCAAAAAAAAGTTTTTAAAACTTATTCCAACCACCCAACAAAGCAGTGACGAGCAAGAACATTGCATGGGTCATATTGCAGAGCAGCAAGCAGAGAAGGTAGTTTGTTCAGCTTAGGTTTTGAGCTGACCTGCGTCTTAATAGGCAGCCACAGTATCAGTTTCTGCAAACGACAACATCGATCACAAATTTTTAAAAAAGGTCCCACTTGACATCCATGCCTTTCACTGAAGCTGAACACACAGGCGGTTCGAAATGACAATGTAAATGTGGGTAAGAAGCACACATGATCTAGACATATGTGCATGTGTATATATATATGTGTGTGTGACTATATATGCATGAATGCATGTCTGACCTCGTTTATAGAACAAATGCATATATATATTCATACACATGTATATGGAATATATATTCTATATGTATATCCTACATATACATATAGAAAATATGTATTCAATAATATACAATATATTGAATATATACACAATATATTGAATACATATATATTCAACACAATATACAAAATTATTTAACAAACTGAAGATGGAAAAAAAGTAAGAAGTCAGTTTAAGGACATTAAATTAAGTGACAAAGCCTCTGATTTTCAGATTAAATCGACTGTCAGAAAAAAATCAACCTATTAGGATTTGAGATGGTAGCAATGTGAGATGCTATTGCAATTGATATTGAACCATAACAATTGATGTCTATTCTTAGGAAACAGCACAGAGTCTCGGGCCTGGAATTAAAATACCAGGTGGCCAGTGAGCTAAATTAAGACCAGGTCGTCAGAAGGAACACGGAATTAAGCTGACCACAAAAATACTACCACCACTCCACACTACTCAATAAAACAGAGTTAACTTATTTTCTCTCCCTTCTGCCTTGCGTTACTGCCCCGCGTGCACAGGTGATCAAGGCTGACCGCCGTACGACCTTGGCAGGGCGGGGGTAATGAGGAGTCCACCGCCTTGCCTCCTTACGTGCAGGCCAAACACAGTTACCAGGCAACACAACCCTGAAGTGGAAAATTCCACAAGCCTGCCTTTTTCATAAACTCACGGTTTTTTTTTTCAAAAAGGCTTGCACAAGCCCACTTTGTCCCCAGCTTATAAAAGCAGCCAATCAGAACCCCCACCCCACCCCCACCCACCGGCAGCTCCGAGGAACTTCTTTTCGTCTGTGTTACCTCACTTGTGCATAAGCTTAATAAAATCTGTCTGGAAATTCCTCTGGGGTTTTGTCTTGATTTGTATCTTGGGAAACCAAGGACCCTAATGCCAGGAACATGTTTTACAACACCAAATTTCCCACTCATTAGGAGAAAAGCTCTGCTTTGCAGATATTGAAATTGATTCATTGCTTTTGATTAGTCTCCCCACTGAAAACCCGCTGAAGTGCCAGATGTACACTTATGTTTTCTTTATAACCCTTTATTTAAAATTTTGATCACTGAGCTAGCATTATACTACATTTAACTTGAAAAGACACTGCATGAAAAATAAAAATAAACATTGCAATGCAGATGTTGTATTATTAAATGTCTCTAAGAAATAGTGCTGGTAATTAATTAAATCGAGTCACAGTTTGAGATGGTAGAATAACGTTATTTCAGTTTCTTAAAATATTATTTGGAATTTTAATATATGAAAGATAATCTTCACTAGAGAGAGTGTTGGCTTTTAGGATGTTTGCAAAAGTGTTGGGTGACTGGCTTAAAATTTGTACTCTGTGCATGTGATGTCATTGTGTCAAGATCAGACTATTTTTCAAATTCTAAAAATGGGCTGTCGATTCTTTTAGAAATATTCATTGTGTTCTCCTTTTATAACAAAGTTCACATTCATTATAAAAGTAAATAACAATGTAACAAATTGTATAAATTTGTAATTGTTTAAAATTAATTGATCAGCTCAAAGTTTAAATGATATAATTAAAGCATTCCTTTAGAAAGATACAATCAGACTTCTAATTCTACCAATAATCTGTGACCCCTTTAAAGGTTATTTACTCTCTCTGAACTCAACATACAAAATGGTCATAACCCACTCAATGATGTCTAAAATATCTTAAATATCTAGAATTAACTTTGCCATTGTTAAAATACATTTATTAGAAGCTCATCGAATTGCTTATATTAAGTAATGAAAAGCCACAGTGAAGAGCCACATGTGTTGATTTATGTCACAATAAGATTACTGAGGTCATTTTTTTTATGTAACATGAACAGTTCATCATACATAACCATCTGGTTAATAGAAATATAGCCACATTTGTAAGGAAACATTTTCTTTTCTTCCCAAATGTAACAAAACAAACAACCCCCCCCAACAACTTTGCAGTTGTTAAACTTTGCGTATGCATTTCACTGAGTTTTCATATTTTATGACACACAAAAGCAGTAAAACCATATAAAATTACCTAAATGTGTGAATTTTTTTAACATGTAGATTGTGTGTGTGAGTCTCTACTTTTATGAAGAGAGGGATATCATGTGTCTAATTCTCATTATTAGTAGTAGAAAAAAGAACAGGTTTTAAAATATATTTTGTATAAATATTTATCTTTGTTGTATGAATAAAACTTTCTTTAAATTAAATAATAGGATTTATGCAGAAATGGGCTGTATTGTGATATAGAGAAAAAAAAACTACCTAGGTGAAAGTCAACTATTTGTTTTACTGTTGTGAGTCTAAGAGCTGATTCCGATATAAATTAAAAATTAATTGAGAAAAGCATAATGTCAAACAATTTATATAAAACAATAGATTGGAAGATCTTCAGAAAGTCACAACAGCATGTGATCTCTTAAACAAGGCTTCAAAAAAAAAATAAAGCATAAAGTGAAATTAATTAATTTGGCCACATTAAAATACACAAATTCTGTAAGAATTTAAACAAAGTTAATAGACAAGGCACACATTGTATTTCTTTTTAAAAGACATTTTTGACCTGGCCTGTTAGCTTAGATGGTTAGAGAGTTGTCCCCATATGTCAAAGTTGCAGGGTTTGATACCTAGTCAAGGCACATACAGGAATTATCTAAATGGGTGCATAACTAAGTGGAACAGCAAGTCAGTTTCTCTCTCCCGTCCCCTTTTTCCTCTCTCTCTCTCTCTCTCAAATCAATCAATATTTTTAAAAAAGATATTTACAATCCATATAGCTGACAACACAGTCTACAAGAAACTATTAAAAATGAAGAATCCCTCTAATCATCAAGGAATTATGAATTTAAAACAATGTGCTAAAATTGTTCACCCAGCATTTTTGGAAAAATTTGAAAATCTGAAGATAATTTTAACCTTACTGGAATTTTTAAAATTGATTATACAAGGCAATGATATAATTTTGCTTGTATTTATCTGGCTACCCAATTATGCAGACTCTACTACTGGTACATCTGCCATATCTTTTACTCTTTTTCTCCCACACAGGTAAGGGCATACGCTTGCATGCACATATACACTCTTATACACATACACATGGAGGTATATCTTTTTAGATTTTTTTAATCCACTGGTATGTTGTTTCTGTTCTCTCAACTCCAGCATTGTCAATATTGTACCATTTCTTAAAAGTTTTTATTTCTGTAAGGCCAGCTTTTATCCCTTAGCCATCTTGAAAACTTTCTAAAGCTTTACTCTTAAAAAAGAACATTATAACCAAATTGTTAAGATTTGCTAATGATCTTACAGGAATTGTGATGATAACTGCATGGGCATTGTTTCAGTGTTTTGCTTTATTATCTACAGCATCATTAAGCTACAATTTATTTACCTTAAAAATAAATAAAACCACATCAATTATAGAGTCCCCTCTAGCAATTAAGCTATATTGCTGTACTATAGCAAAATCCTTGAAAGAGAAGTCCCTAATTATTTTTCCTCTCTTCTTCTTCTTTTTTTTTTTTTTTTTTTTTGGTTAAATCTGGAATCACTCCAAAAAACCCTTTGTACAGAGAAGTTGATTGAATAGGACTTTGTCAAGGATACCATTCACCTGGAAATTATTACAGCTAATGGTTAATTCTCACTCCTCATATAATTTCACCTATGAGCAGTATTTGATACAACTGATAACACTTTCCTTCCTAAAACCTTATGTTTTTGCCTAGTTTCTAGGACATTATACTCTGTTTTTTCTAATTCACTGGTTAGTACTTTCCAGTTTCTTTGCTAGATTCTCATTACCTCTATGACCTCTAAGTATTAGAGTATTTTAAAGCATAGTCCTAAAACCTCCCCTCTTTTCTCATCTAATCTCAAAGCTTTAAACACTGTCTATAAATTAACTGTTTCCCACTTCATATGTCTACTAAACTTCCCTTGAATTACAGGCTCATTGATCAAAGTTCCTACCAGAATCTGTTTTTTGGATATCTCTAAGCATCTCAACTTAAACCTGATACACTGTCCCTCTCTGCTCTCCCAAAATTCTCTTTCAATTTTACCTAATATAATAAATGACAAATTCATAATTCTACTTGCATAAATCTAGTTTGTTTCTCTTTGCCCCCACTGCAAATAAAAACACTGATATGTTAGTTTTCATGGTCACTTGGTTTCTATCACATAGCAGAAGCTACAACTCCTTGAAATAGTAGTGGCTATTAAATCTGATTATCTTTAGATATTTATTTGTCTTGAGGATTCACATATCTCCAGGCATCTGAGACACCAATGATTTATTCAATAGAATACTCGGTATTTTTTATATTGTGCTATGCATTTGATTTTGTTACTCCTTTTTTCCTCAATGTTGTAAATTAAATTTTAAAAATCCCCTTAGGAAAGGAAAGTACTTAGCAGTTTATAATGTTCTATTTATGGTTGTAGTGGTTCTTTTGCATCTGTGAAAGTCATTTTTAAATATACAAAAAAACTGTCATTTGTATGCACAATAGGAATATCAAATACAAATGAGCAAATAGTGATGTTGGCTTAATCACAAAGAACTATACTTGCTTTGATTACAATTGTGTACATGAACATTAACTCTTGAAATGGGTATGAAGATAGAATGAGAAAGATGCTTTATGATTTGTCTGTAACCTTAAGCCTCCTTAAAATCCTGATGTGGTTCTAAGAAATGAAATTTCTCTTTGCTGTTAAGAAAGTATTAGGGAATTTTTATAAAGTGTACACAAATGTCAATGTCAATATAGAAAAAAATCTTCTCATGTTACCCGCAAGATGATAAAATATGTTAAAGTTAGTCCCAGCTCAATACTCAATGTGACTGGAAATCTATTAAGAGATAACATCGAATTACAAGGTAGGGAGCAACCCATCTATAAAATCTTGTCACTTGCCTCAGCTTTGAAAGTTTAATAAGGTTCCTTCTGTTGTGTGAGTACAAAATATTTTCTAAACAAACAAATTGGTATATCTTTGCTTATTTAAAAAAATCATTTAGATTTATAGAGTCTCTAAAATTTTAAAAACCTCTATTGGCTTACAAAGATTTAAAAAGAACTTAAGCAAATCTAAGTAAGAAAATTTAAAATTTTTCACAAAAAAATTTAGCTTCAAATGCCATAAAAACTTATTCCTTTAAAAAAGTTTCAGACACTAATCTTGGCTGAGTTACACTTGAAAAATATCCTTTTTTTTTTTCAAAATAAGAGCATGCTCACAGGTTCTGTGGACTAGAATGTAATCATATATTCAGGGGTCTATTATTTAACCCTCCACAATCTTTTCTATTGTTTTAAATTATTACAACTACATGATTTATGTATTATTTAGGACTCTTCAGATATGAAAACCAATAGGAGAGAGAGGAGGAAGGCGGGTGGGCAGGAGGGGATGGCAGAGGGAGGGAGACAAGAGAAAGAGATTGTTGTTTTAAGGAATTAATACGTGTGATTATGGGAACTGGTATAGTCAAAATCTGCGGAACAGATCAGCAGACTGGACAGCCAGGGAAGAATATACGTTCCTGTTCAAATGTGAAGGCAGTCTGTGTGTATAACTGCTCTTTCCTCAGGAGATCTCAGTCTTTTATTTTTTCGATTATTACATATCCCCCATATACCTACCCCCACCCCACAGTCATCACACTGTTGTCCACATCTACGAGGTTTTTTCTTTATTGTTCAATTCCTCTGCCCTCTAACGCCTCATAGCTATCAACCTGCA